GTCGGCATTAATTAACTCATTAAGGTTGATATGCCGTAGACCAAACCAAACCAAACCAAACCTGAATGATAACAGGCAGGCTTTTCACCATTCAGCTGCCAGATCTTAATAAATTTTCTGATCAACATACTTATATTCAATTGTTCTTCTCATGTAAAAATATATTAGCAGCAATACATTTTTGAAAAAAATATTACAAGCAATAAAAAATCCATTAGGTTGATATGCAATAGAACAAACCAAACCAAGCCTGAATTATAACAGGCAGGCTTTTCATCATTCAGTTGCCATATTTTAATTTTTTTATCAAGATACTTATATTTAATTGTTCTTGTCTTGTAAAAATATATTAGCAGCAATACATTTTTGAAAAAATTTCATCAACAATAAAAAAAAAAAAATTGTCGGTATTAAATAACCCATTGAAGTTGATAGTGATTTTCCAAGCGTAGCTTAGATGTGGCACAAGGCCGAAAGCATGGGGAACCCAGTGAGGACCGAAGTCACGACTCAGTTGTAATTGTTCTAGCGAGACAAGCTTGCTAACCATTACACCACGCCGAGGTGCCCCCATTGAGGTTGATATGCCATAAAACTAAACAAAACCAAACCAAACCTGAATGATAACAGGCAGGATTTCCACCATTCAGTTGTCAGATCTTAATAAATTTTATGATTAACATACTTATATTCAATTGTTCTTCTCTTGTAAAAATATATTAGGCAGCAATACATTTTTGAAAAAGAAAATATAGCAAGGAATAAGAATCTTGTCGGCATTAAATAAGCCATTGAGGTTGATAAGCCGTAAAACAAAACCAAAGCAAACCAACAAAAATATGATTCTGCTCATGCTACCTCAACTAAAGCAAAATTAACTGCCACCTCGGACATAAAATGTCCCATGATGCTGTCCTTAACTGTCATTCTGGGGCCAGACAGTATTAATTCCTGTTCCCATCTCATAGAGCTCCCAAAAATAAATCTCAGAGTACCTTTTTATCTATTGCTTCACACATGCGTTATTCGGTTGAATGCATTTATTCAAGTGGGAGATGTTGAAAACATGCATTATACCGCTGTTTGTAATTTTTTTTGCATTTTTGTTTATCAGCCTGATGCATAAGTTTCTCTTCTTTTTTCGTTTTGATCTTTTTGACAAAATCTTTTATTCATAAAAATTCCTTACATTCATTATTCAGTCATCAAATTATTTTCCCCGGCTGTCCATTAACTCATGCTATCATTCAGTTAAATTGCAACCAGACTAGGAGTGTTGCCATGGCGCAAAACAACTCTTGGAATGATAATGACTCTTTTCAAAATTACAGAAAATATTTTCGTCTACAGTTGGCAGAATCATCCCGAATCTGAGCCTCGTTGATAAATACTGCAAACTGTAATTTGATAATACGAGACTTCATTTTTCACCTTCATTAAGCAATGAAGTTTTTTATATCACGTCGCCTTGACGTACTCGCCTTATGCAGAAGTTTTCACTCTGACAGCTTGTAACATAATCGAAATTAAAATCCAACAAAGGACCGTGAGATAAAACACTTCCAGCTGAAAATACGTGATTCTAAATCAAAGTATTGCATAAAAAAAAATGAAAGTTGTTTTTCAGCCAATGGAAAAAAAAGTTTAAAAAGAAGTTAAATAAACACATCAACTTCTATGGAAGCAGACCTTTATAAATAGACGCTTAACAACATAATCATGACAGATAGCGACAAAAAACTACAGAAGTTACTTGTCATGCCGTTTTGCTCCCCCCTTACTACAATGATAAGGAGGAACACTACGCAGCATCAAAGAAACCGACTTAACTGATAAGTGACAGCAGTAAGAAAGAACTTTTCAAGTCGACGTTCCTTCGTACACTATTTCATTTTATCAAACTTTTCAAGTGCTAAAAAGCAAATAATATAAATAGGCAAATTTATTATTTTTTTATATGCCGACGTACCCTGTCTCACCCTCTTTATCACTTTCTCTCTCTCTCTCTCTCTCTCTCTCTTTCCATCTCTCTTTCTCTTTGTTTTTCTCTATCCCTTTGTCTCTGTTTCTCTCGCTTTCTCTTTCTTTTTCTCTTTCTCTTTTTCTCTCCATCTTTCTTTCTCTCTTTTGCCATCACTCTCTTTCACTTTCCCTCTCTGTTTCTCTTCGTCTCGCTCTATCTTTTTACTTTTTCTCTTTCTCTTTTACTCTCTCTCTCCTTCTATCACTTTTCTCTCTCTTTCTCTCTCACTCTCTCTTTTTTTCCATCACTTTTTCTCTCTTTCTCTCTCTCTCTCTTTCTCTTTGTCTCACTCTATCTCTTTCTTCTTCTCTCTCTCTTTTGCTATCACTCTCTCTCTATTTCCCTCTCTCTCTCGTTCTCTTTGTCTATCTCTATCTCTTTCTTTCTCTCTTTCTCTCACTTTTTCCTTTTTCTCTCTCTCTCTTTCACTCTTTCTCTCTCTTTTGCCATACAACTAGTCATATCCAAAGAGTTTAAGGGCGTACGCCAAACGCCAACTACGCAAAAAGTGCGGGACAAAATCTTAGAAGATTTTAAGCTTCGATTCGCGATGTCGGATGTATAAAAATTGCGCGAGTTCAATCCCTGTAGTAGATCCGATAGAAACAGGACGATCAATCTTCTTCTTATCGTGTTGCTACATTACACTCATCCAATGTTGCACACAGAGCCTTGTTTGGGGTGTTAAGATTTCAACGTCTTTAACTATACATGGATCTACAAGATTGGGTCAAACTAGAAGGTTCTTCACAGTTTCTAATTGCCCGAATTGGCAGTTGTGGTCATCATCGGTGGCATATCGCCATTTCTGGAGGTTGGCTTTACATTGACCAACAGCTGATTGCAGCCTTGCGTTGGGGGAAGGATTGAGAAATGCGAAAACTCATCGGCGGGGGCCGAGACGTGAACGCTCCTTCCATGGGCCCCAGGACGAGCAATAATTAAGCAGTACTAAAAAAAAATGATCAAGACGAGATATCCATATACACAGGTATTGGAGCGATAACAGTTTATCCCTGATGATTAAATAATTCCCTAAAGATTATCCAGAAGGCCAGACCACATAAGGGATAAAAAGATTATGATAACACTAAATACGTGGACGTTAGACCCATAATTTTCTGCAGGCAAGATGAACGTTCAATACGACACCTCATTCATATATATATATATATATATATATATATATATATATATATATATATATATATTATATATTGTTATGGGAACTTACCCATAATAATAATGACATTATAAATACTGCTCTTCTCAAGAGGTATGAGGAGATTGTAAGACTTAATTGAAAGCATATTAATTGAGAGCATATTAATTGAGAGCATATTGTAAGGACATTAGAATAGTGATACTTGTCGAGACAACATAGTTCACTCTAACCAAATCTGATAGTCATTACTAATACTTCTACTTCTTTGTATTATATTTCTGTTGTAATATATCTTTGTATTCCATACATGTGTTCGTGTTATTCTTCATTGGTTCTAACCTTGGACCATCACCGGGGTACAAGGAACTTGGACCATAACATATATATATATATATATATATATATATATATATATATATATATATATATTTTTTTATTTTTATATATATATATATATATATATATATATATATATATATATATATAAAGTGTATAAAAATAATACGTAAATTTAAAACCATTTCTTATGCTTGGAGATGTGATCTGAAGAACCAGGTAAAACCACCTTCCTGGGGAAATAAAATATAATGAATGGACCCCTAAGGCTGTCTGTTTTCTAATCAATATATATATATATATATATATATATATATATATATATATATATATATATATACTTCGCTAAAGTTACAAGAAATATATTCTATCACTTCAGAAAGTATCTGATTCCGTTTACCATTCTTTATCTTCGCAAGAGTTAGATTAGACCAAAAATAGAATAATGTTATCATATCTGGGCCGAAGCTACACATTCTACAATGTAGTTCACATGTCTTGTTATCCTTACATCATATAATTTTCTATTTCAAATGGCTGACATGAGAATGATGGATGTTCATACAGACCTTCTCGATGTGTGACAGCGTCAATGAAAGCGAATAAACTGAATCCAGTACATGTGTTTCGTGTTACTGTAGTACTTGTTCTATTGTTCTCATTACTTTTCAGTAGGGTGTGACAAGACATTCGGACCATCTTGTACAGAGGTCTCATTCTTTCGCTCCAGGAAATACCGATTCCTTCTGTAATGTTTTATATTTACAAGAAGCAGATTAGTAATGGATTTTCATTAATACCACACATAACTTTAAACATTCGTAGAGACTCGTACTTGAGTAGTCTCTCCGTTTATTGCCGGGAAGCGCAATTTTTTATTTAATAAGATTTCTCAAACATTTAGGCTGATAGATGAAAATAAATAAATAAATAAACTGTTTAATAAATAAATAGAGTTTTTACTCAGAAACGTGTATCCTCTAAAAATAATGTTTAAAATGATAAAAAGAATCAGATTAGACTAAAAATGGAGTGTTGCTCTCACGTCTGGGCTGTCGTCCTGGGTATGACAATAAACTTCATCCAACAGCAAGGCCTCTGATCAGGAGGTTTTGACGAGCGTGGAACCACCTCTTAATTATTGATGTTCCCAGGTTCACCCTGACCCGGGGTGGTAGCACCTGTTAGGGTCCCAGCTATGGGTAAATAATTAACCTCCAAACTGTGGTCAAAACACTATGAAAGTATAAGAATAGGTTTTAATACCAGAAATATTTTGTAAAAAATTATTACCAGCAATAAATCTTCGAAGAAAAATTATTACCATCAATACATTTCGGAAAAAAAATAATATTACCAGCAATACATTTAAAAAAAAAAATTACTAGCAATACATTTAAAAAATATTTCCAGCAATAAAAATCTTGTTGGCATTAAATGACCAATTGAGGTTGATATGCCGTAAAACATACCAAACAAAACCAAACGAAACGTCTGGGCTGTACTCAGTAAAGAATTGAATCAAGGAAATTTAGGTTAAAAAACTTAAAAAAGATAAAAAAAATAAGACGAAAAACGTTTTATTCGCAAAGACAAACGAAAAGTAAAGACATGACAATGAAAGTGGGATTGAATTAACAAAAGTAGACTTTATTTACATTGTGCTGACTGTTGTCCTCATTTTTATTGTCATGTTCACAACGTTTCGACCGTTGTACGCTCCGGCCTATTTCGTCTCCAAGTTTTTGATTTTATAAGGAAAACATATGCCTGACGATGAATAAAGTATTATTCGAAAGTACTTGCATTTTAAAAAAATATAAACTGGAAACAACAGACAACAGTTTTATAAATGAGGATCACATCACTATATGGATTAACAGTATTTTAATGCATACATTATACACTACTAGCAATGGATGTCGCCAATAATAGTATTGATATTACTGATTGATTCTATGTGTGATTATTTCTTTGTATATAAATTATATGCTGCCTAATGTTTTATTTATATATATATATATATATATATATATATATATATATATATATATATATATATATATATAAATTACGTGTGTTTTGGCAGTATGTTTTCATTAAGACATGTCTCAGTGAATAATTTAGACAAGTTTTGTCTACTTATCTTCAATAGGGTCCTCTCATATTCACAGACAATTTTCTTAGTATCCTTATTAAAGAAAGAGAGAAAATTACCATCTTGATCATTTACTCGGAGTTCTTTCGACATTAGCACAATGTCACTATTTTTGTTTTTTTCTAAGACAAAATTGTTGCATTCATCTGAAAATTACATTTCTTTTTAAACTGTGAAGTGAAAAGCGCTAAAGTTGCCTACTGTGCGCTTTGAATTGCACGATGTAAACGTCAGGGGAGGTAAGTAAGTTTGAAACGTCCATGTGTTTTTTTTAAAAAAAACAAAACAAAAATATATGAACATTGAAGCCATTACTAGATAAGAAATGGTTCTTAAAGTTATTAAAATAAATGATATTTTTAAAATCTTGTTTAAATGTTTTGGGGGGTTTTTTTTTGTCTTTTTTTTTTTGGTAATGTATTTCTGTCTCTTAGCATTTGCTTTTATTAAATTTACAAAATTTTCTCTTTCTGTTTGAATAAGCATTATGTAAGATGGAAAAAAATGCATCATTATAATCTCGATCGGGGTTGTCCAGCAAATGTTGCCCAATAGCGGAGTCGTGCATTGCTTGAGTGGCTCTTGAAGCACGACTCTGACTACTTGAACCCAAATAGGAAGGCAAAAGTCGCGTAATCTTCGTTTCCGTCCTCTAATTGGTTCGTCCCATATACACCGCATCACAGCGGCATTCGAATTTATATATAACTGAACTGTTCTGAAAATAGGACAACCGACCTTTGCTGTAGGAAAGAAACTCAGATCACGTTTAGAAAACAGTACGCAACTTAACAGCATTGTAGCATGAAGCAATGCAAGCAAATATTTCTGTCAGCAAGCAGTTGACACTCCCCGTCTAGCCAAGGTAACTTCAAACAAATCAGGCATCGACTAAGTCCTAGAACCGCTAGTTACTTAAATCATCTAATTTTACCATCGATAAAGCGTTTGATGATATTAGCAGGATAACCATTACTGTCAAAGTTTTTTGGAAGCAAGTTCTCCAATTAACACACGAGGGTAACAGATCATCAAAGCACGATGAACCAGGGTAGAAATTAGACTAATTTTTCTGGCCTTGGGAACAAAAGAGTTTCAACTTGTGTACAAGCTAGTAAAAGTGGGTTTACCAAAGATGCTGGTGTAAAAAAAACTACATGCTTGCGTTCTATGAGAACATCTAAAATGGGCAATACCCGTCACTTTCAGTCTCCATAGTAAGCTGAAGGGATTGTTGCAGAGAATTGGGTTCCTACCCAAAAAATTAGTGGCATCTCTGGTGGAATCAAAACTTGAAAAGGTATCATCAACGTACCTCGTATAAATGTAGGTTTTACGGACCTTGTCAAACAGAAGTTCCTCGTGATAACCTACGAAAATATTGGCCAGTATGGGACCCAAAGAACTACCCATTGCAACACCGTCGGTCTGGGTATGCATAATATTGTTGAAACTGAATTCAACACCTTCAGTGGCTAGACGCATACATTCTATAAACAAATTTTCAGGAATGCTATCCGGTCCTAAATTACCTCTATAAAAAGCATCAGCACATATATTAATGGTCTCATGAAGGGTTACATTGGTATACAAGCTGACGATGTCGAAAGATATCATCAGTTTATTATCCGACTCATTTTAAAAATTTCTTATGAAATTTGAAAACCGGAAAGTGTCAGAAATACTGTGTGCTGAGAAGAAATCAGATACTGGCTGGAGCAGATCAGTCAACCATTTGGCCAACGCACAGAACACACCATAGATAAGAAGGGTCTAAGTGGTACATCATTCTTATGCACCTTTGGCAGTCCATAAATT